ACATATACATAAATTTAAGAATAGTAAACAGCTACAGCTATCAGAACATCCATTAGCCTAACAACATCAGCTATGTATATATATATATATTTATAACATCACCCATCTCACATCATTCCACAATAACAACAGTACACATGATAAATAGTAGTAAACACACAATGCGTCGTCACACATATCTGCTCGGAGATCTCCTACAACAGCTCAGCCTTACGGCCTACAACAGCTCCTATCAATACGGAGCACAACACCGACTTAGCGGTTATAACAGCACCACAATAGTGGCTAACAGCACCGGACTCGAGACGTCAATGTCATAGGCGACGTCAACCTGCACAGGCTGACTAATGATCTGGAACTAGACCCTAGGATGGAAGATGAAGTCAGGGTCGAACCAATTGAAACAACAATTCCGTTTCAATTGGGAAATAATGAAGAACAAGTCACTTACCTGAGTTCTCAATTAACAGAAATCGACGCCGAGGACATTAAACAAGTTCTACGGAAATACTCGGACTTGTTTGCCTGGACAGCGGCCGACATGCCAGGAATCGACCCAAACTTCCACTGTCATCAGCTCTCGGTCTGTCAAGATGCTAAACCCATTGCACAGAAAAAGAGAAAAATAGGGGGAGACAGGGCCCAAGCGATAAAGGAAGAAACGACCAAGTTACTACAAGCCGGGTTCATCAGAGAAATCAAGTACTCCACCTGGATGGCAAATGTAGTGATGGTCAAAAAGGCTAATGGCAAGTGGCGGATGTGTACAGACTACACGGATCTCAACAAAGCATGCCCCAAGGATGCTTATCCCCTTCCACACATCGACACATTAGTCGATGGAGCCGCGGGCCATCAAAGGCTAAGTTTTCTAGTACCTACGGAAAAAATTCTGTAGGTAACTAAAAATTACCTACGGAAAACATTCCGTAGGTAACTAAAAATTACTTACGAAAAAAATTCCGTAGGTAACTAAAAATTACCTATGAAAAAAATTCCGTAAGTAATATTCCGTAGATAACTAATTTCGTAGGTAATATTCCGTAGATAACCAAACATTACCTACGGAAAAAATTCCGTAGATAACTAAAAATTACCTACGGAAAAAATTCCGTAGGTAATATTCCGTAGATAACTAAATATTACCTATGGAAAAAATTCCGTAGGTAATATTCCATAGATAATAACAGTTTTTCTTGTAGTGGTTGTGGTGCATGCCAACACTTTGTACAATATCTTTTCGCGCCATCGTCTCTACTCCCCATTTGGCTATGAAGTTCCCCTCGGCAGAAGGAACAATCATCACTCTGCACGCGGATCAAAAAACAGCGCGTGAGTGTTACTTCGCCAGCCTTAGAGTTCAACCCACTCCAAAAACGACTCGAGACGTCAATGTCATAGGCGACGTCAACCTGCACAGGCTGACTAATGATCTGGAACTAGACCCTAGGATGGAAGATGAAGTCAGGGTCGAACCAATTGAAACAACAATTCCGTTTCAATTGGGAAATAATGAAGAACAAGTCACTTACCTGAGTTCTCAATTAACAGAAATCGACGCCGAGGACATTAAACAAGTTCTACGGAAATACTCGGACTTGTTTGCCTGGACAGCGGCCGACATGCCAGGAATCGACCCAAACTTCCACTGTCATCAGCTCTCGGTTTGTCAAGATGCTAAACCCATTGCACAGAAAAAGAGAAAAATAGGGGGAGACAGGGCCCAAGCGATAAAGGAAGAAACGACCAAGTTACTACAAGCCGGGTTCATCAGAGAAATCAAGTACTCCACCTGGATGGCAAATGTAGTGATGGTCAAAAAGGCTAATGGCAAGTGGCGGATGTGTACAGACTACACGGATCTCAACAAAGCATGCCCCAAGGATGCTTATCCCCTTCCACACATCGACACATTAGTCGATGGAGCCGCGGGCCATCAAAGGCTAAGTTTTCTATATGCCTACTCAGGGTACAACCAGATACCCATGTACCCCCCAGACGAAGGGAAAACCGCATTCATCACGGACTCAGCCAACTTTTGCTACAAGGTAATGTCGTTCGGGTTGAGAAACGCGACTTATCAACGACTCATGGATAAAATCTTCCGACGTCAAATAGGGACATGCATGGAAATATACGTGGACGACATGGTAATCAAGTCCGTTTCCGCCAGTAATCACTTAGAGGATCTCATGGCAGTGTTTGACGAAGTAAGACGGTATCACATGCGGCTAAACCCGGCGAAGTGCACCTTCGGAGTCGCTGGCAGAAAATTCCTAGGCTTCATGTTATCAAAGATTAGTGAAGAGAGGTCAAGCTGTCAGCATTACATATAGATGTTGCGGTTTTTTAGAATTTTTAACAAGGTAGATGAAGGAATTAGGACTTGGTGTCTTCATGAGAGTTGTAAGAAATCCTCTTATCTTTCATATGAGATAAGGATAAGCATGATAGGAGTAGTATAACTCCTGATGCGCTGTTTTCAGTGAAGGCTGCCATTTCACTTTTAGTGATTTGGTTAAGTGAAAAGTCCTTGGACAAGCTAAGGGGGAATGGCCCGATCACTTACACGAAATACTGTGGGCCTATAGATGCACTCCACAGAGCTCAACAAAGGAGACACCCTTCCGGTTAGCTTATGGAACCGACGCCATGATCCCAGTAGAGATCGGTGAACCTTCTCTTAGACGACAAGAATTCACTGAAGAAACCAACGCGGAAGCGTTAAATGTGGAGCTTGACCTGATTGAAGAGGCACGCGACCGGACATTCATTAACATGGAAGCTTGTAGAGCACGCGTCTCCCGAAAATACAGAACCAAAATCAAGCCCAGGGATTTTCAACCCGGTGACCTTGTATGGAGAGTAATGGGAGAAGCCAGAAGAAACAGAGCTCAAGGGAAGCTAGCCCCCAATTGGGACGGCCCTTTCCGAGTAAGGCACAACCTCAGCAATGGAGCATACAAGCTTGAAGAACTCAATAGGAAGATCATCCCACGAACATGGAACGTCAAGCACCTTAAGCACTACTTTAGTTAGAACATAATGTACTTGTTTCAGAGCACTCTTTTCCTTTCCCAGGTTTTTCCCTCTTATAAAAATGTGCAAGAGGTTTTACTGAGGAAAGGTTTTTAACGAGGCTCTATATCAATGAAACAAAAATCACTTCGTCCAAATATACTTTATGCTTGCTCATAATCTAAAGATGCAGATCTAAAATCCCTCCCGAGTACCTCACTCGGCCAAGGTCGAAATAATTCCCTCCCGAGCACACTAGTTCGGCCAAGGATGAGTATTTAAATCCCTCCCGAGTACCTCACTCGGCCAAGGTCGAAATAATTCCCTCCCGAGCACACTCGTTCGACCAAGGATGAGTATTTAAATCCCTCCCGAGTACCTCACTCGGCCAAGGTTGAAAGAATTCCTTTTCGAGCACCCTTGTTCGGTCAAGGATGGGTATTTAAATCCCTCCCGAGTACCTCACTCGGCCAAGGTTGCAAGATTCCCCTACCAAGCACATTCGTTCGGCCTAAGATGAGTATTCTTCCCACCGAGACCTATCTCTTGGCCAAGGATAAAATCTACGCACAACCGAGTAAAATCACTCGGCCAAAGGTTGACACTTCGCAAATACCCAAACATTCAAAACAAAGCCGAGCCGTTTCATCCGGCATGGATTACTCAAAATTGAAACAATATACCGAGGCATAACAAAATCACAATGAGATGCATAGAAGGCAACAATTTATTAACAGGCTTTGAGGCCGAAAACAACACTATTGGACGAAGGGTACAATTGCAATAGGGCACGAATGGCCGACAACTAAAAAAAAAAAAAAAAAAGCAGAAACAAAATTTTACCCTATATCTATACATCTTGGTCAAAACAGATGTATAAGCAAAAAATAAAATGCCTAGACCCATCAATCGACATTAGTAGTTTGCTCGGTCTCCTCATCCTCATTTACAATCGCTCCAGGATCTTCCGGGGCGGCCGATCGAGGCGAAGCCACCTTGTCCGGCTCGGCAGTGTCGTCGACAGCGGCAAAATCCAAAAACTCCCCATTGAAGAAGTCCTTGCTCAACTCAAAGGAAAAGCCGGAAGGAAAGGACCCGAAGTGAGTGGCCTGCTGAACGGCATGCCAAAAACCTAATTATTTTCTTCTCACAGTTGGTCTGAAAGGCCGCCATAGTAGCGTCAACATCAACCCTTGCTTTTTGCTCTCGAGCGTCGAAAAGGGAACCTAAACCGATAAAGAGCACACCTTACCCCTTCGGCTTGGAACATGACCAAATACCCCTTTGGCCTCAAGCATGACCGAATACCCCTTCGGCCTCAAGCATGACCGAATACCCTTTCCCGATCAGAGATACCAGAGTACTCTAAAGTGGACAAGATATAATCACAAGCACCCCTTCGGCATCAAGCTCAGCCGAATACCCCTTCGGCCTCAAGCTCAGCCGAATACCCCTTCGGCCTCAGGCTTGGCCGAAGACTCGAACCTCAAGGTTAGCCGAATACCTCGTCGGCCAACAGCTTGACCGAAGATTCAAAAGGAAGTCAACTCATGAGGGACACATGGCAAATTAAGACATCTATTATACAATGATTAGCACGTCTAACTAAGAAGGATTAGACTAATTAAGACATTACCCATCTCCCAAGGCATAAAGCCCACCAGACCCAAGTATGTCACTATAAATACACAGGTGATGGGACATAAATGAGGTACGTTATTATCCAATATAAAGCCTTTATTGCTCTGAACCGAATACTTACTTAATCGTCGGAGTGCCTTTGCAGGTACCCTCCCCCACCACTTGGAGGCAGTATTCGATCGGCACCAAAGACTTAGAAGACCGCAAGGAAGGAGCTACGAGAGGAGTGTTTCTACGCAGGAACATTAAGTTTAATCTTTTAGAAGTTTTAATTTGTCTACAGCCACTTTTCAATTGCAATTATAATTCCATTCAGTTCTAATTCAAATACGCGATCCATGTGATAAGAAAGATAATTTATTATTTGATGATACCGTACACTTATTATTTTTGCAAATCACATAACAAATAACCATTAACTGGCTATGTCAAAGGAATACAAAATCAAGCCAAAATAAAACAGCAAATAGTTGACAATTTATTCAATGCTTGCCACAAAAGATATGGCAAATTCCCTATCAATGAGATGAATCCTCAACAGACAGTGTACATAATGAAGAATGGCATCTGCAATAAAAACAGTACCCAACCGTTAATGGAATTGTCACATTCTAAGCTTACATGTACACTTTTCCCTTTATATATTGGAAAACAAAACAAAATTACTTTTTAAAGATAATTTTATATCCAGAAGAGATATTCATTTATATTTTGCCCAAGACCATCCATATCATTTATATCAATTATAAGCTATTATGTAATTTCTTTTGACAATGGCTTTGATTTATCTGATCTAAATATTTTAGTGTTTTTTATAAGTGAGGATATGGGTCGAATAAAACAAAAGATTGAAAAGAGTAAAAGAAAATTGAAAAGAGAGTATCATATGAAACATACATAGTGTGGTCCTTCTCTTGCATTGTTGTACTGGTGAGACTAAGGATAAACCTCAATGATAGAGAATAAACCAGAAGTTGGAGTTATCTTGTAGTTATGGAAACCACTGGAGGAAATCAGATTGGCCCATTCTTTCTCATTTCTTTCTTTTGCTCCATAAAGCACCATCATTTCCATATCAAACCACAATTGTTGGTCAATTATATTTTCATTTTCTGTCTCTTTCTCCAACACTGCATCTATGATGATAACCTTTCCGTAGATAGGTATTGCCTCCTTGCACTTTTTTAGTATCTTTACACAATCCTCATCGTTCCAGTCGTGCAATATATTCTGTTTATTAGTTATCAAAGTAACAAGAATAAGAATCACTAAAATGAAATGAACAAGATATAGCTCATTTTTAAATTTGGATATAAGTTGAAAACATTTTAATTTTTTCTTTTTTCACTGAAAAATACTTTTTTATTTTTCATGAAAAAACTCATAAGAATGTTTCTAACTTATATCTAAACAGATTTAATATTTAATTATTTACCATCATCAAAATGGAATCAGCGGAAGGAATTGCTTCAAACATGTCCCCTCCAACATATTTTACGTTCTGAGTTCCTTGCAAGTTAGCAACAACACGTGGGAGATCAAATACAGTACACTTGAGTTGGGGGACTAACTTAGCAATTTCCATAGTGAAGGTCCCAGTTCCTCCTCCAACATCAACTAATGACTCCAATCCCTTGAACACTTGCTCGCTCATGAACTTTTCAATCACCACATTAGAATGTAATTGATTTTTAAGTTTCAGGACATAATTGAACATGTCATTCATTTTGGGCTCACGCTCAGTATAATCCCAAAATGACATCCCATTTGCTGTGTGAAATGGACTAGGGTCTTCTTTTGTGAACCATGTTGATAGTTGACAGCATGATTGAATCAAACTCGGGTCAAGTAAAAATTTGTACCCAAATGCAAAACTCAAGGGATGATCCGTAACGATCAGTTTACCTGAATCAGTTAACTCATATCTTACTTCTTGCTCATTTTCAATGTCTTTGTGAAGAGAGACGAAACCATCATGAGCCAAAATTCGCATTAAGCGGTAGATGAAGCTAGTCTTTGATGGGTGGATTGGTAGTGAAGCAACGAGTTGTGAGAGTGGCATGGGTTGGCCATACTTGTGTATGATATCTGGTATGTTCAAGTCAATTGCACATCTAACGGTCATAGTGTTCATGAATCTGAGACAATGATTAGATGCATGTACAAAAGCTTGTTGCATTTTCTTAGCGTGCTCTTCGCTGAGGGATTCCATATGTAATTTGATATTTGGACTAGCAGCTAGATTTGTTGTATAAAACATCATACATCACTTTGGTCTATTTATAATCCCAACAAGTGTGCTATATCAACATCTTGAAGGAAGGACAAAATAAACATTACTTAAATTTTTGTTATTAAATGCGATATATAAAATTCGTAGCAAATATTATTTCTACGATTTTTTTTGCAAAATTTTATCTTCAAAAAATATATTTTTATAAATTTTAAAATTCGCAAGGAAGTGTCTACAACTCTAACATGTAATACATAACCTTTGATTATAAGTCTAACACTCAACCATACAAATCAACTTGCAAGATAAGTATTATCCTAATTTATATATTCTTTAATTATTTTATTTTTAATCGATGTAGGATTTGAAGTTTTCTTTTAAATATTAATCTAATCGAGTTTTTAGAAAAATGGTTAATTCATTATATTGAACAACAAAATTATATTATTATAAATTATTTTAACTCTTAAAATATTCAATATTCTAAAAAAATTAGTTTTATTATTAAATAATTTTATTTTAAAAACTATCATTAAATTAAAACTCATCATCATTAATTATACATTTAATTAAAATAATATTTAATTTATTAATATTTTTAATTAAA